TTTCAGGATACGGGGTGGAATAAAAATGAGCTCCTAAAACGCACTGCTTACCTGAAGACACTAATTATACCTTGAAAACACAGTGCATTGTGGCCAATTGTGTTTCTCTTGAATGTTGCTGCTGCAGTTGCAATACCTGAGCGCTAAAGGACAGCTTGTGTGCACAGCTGCCTCTCCAGTGAGACACACACACACATCAACATTCACTGCAGAACACACCCAAAGGCTAATGTTTGCATCACTGCTCCTCGCTTTTGTGCAGCACAAGCTTAACTGCTCCGGAGGTCAGGAAGACTATTACATAACTTCAGAATCCGTCACCAAATCTGACATTTACACACAAGAGTGCTGCTGTCTCAGGGTCAGTCACAGTGCGCTCGGATTTGTTTCGCTTTCTCATCTGATTTCATACAGTTCTGTTGCAAACTTTAGGGTCAGTAAGATTAAAAAAAAAAAAAAAGTATTTTATTAAGGCGAGACACTGCAGGTGAATAGGGTAAAAAACAACAACTAATAGTTATCGCCTTACTTACCCAGCTGATTGATTACATTGATAATTGCAAACATAATTTTTTTGTATTACAAGTTTTCTAAAATGTTAGGTTTAAATATGCAAATGAGTCATTATTTATTTAAATATGCGCTCATTTGCATAAATTTCTAAATACAAAATTCTAAACACTGGATGATGTCAGTTTCAAAATTCTTGTTTAATTTTTTTGACATATTAGAGTCAAAAGTTGTTACAGAGGGAATTCTCATTTTTGCCACTCCATAATTCAGAAAATGCTTAGAACGGACAGAAAACACTATTTTCACAATTTTGGGGGGGAATAAAATGTTGTATATAATCAAGCAAATTATAAATTAACAAATCCCTCTGTAAAATCCTTCAGGATACAGACAGGAATATAAATGTAAAGTTTGGTGTGTGTAAGTGCTACTGAAGTGGAGATTTATGGCTCAGTGTAGGAGAAAAAACTCATTTTGAGAAAACGGCCTTTAAAAATATGTACTGTAATTGAAATCTATTGACACAAATAGATAAAGTGCTATAAAAGAAACACTTAAGAGTGTCCTTTGGATGTTTTCTTTCCACTAGTCTGAAAAAACACTATGAAAAACCAAAAAGGCCAAAATCTCAAATTTGACAGGTGCATGAAAAAACAGTGTTTTTTGCCTGCAGTGTCTCCCCTTAACACGAGCAAACAGGAGAGTAAACAAACAGCCCAAAAAGTCGCTCAGTTGGAGGCATGCAGCCAAAGGGCAATGACGTGAACCTCATAATGAGGACTCTGCATTCAGTACTGGACAATAGCTGGTTGGCAGGGCTGCGTGCTCAATGGCGGTGTCTCTATCCACACAGGGTAAGGTGAGATGATAACTGGTGGTCTATGCAACGCCACTGATTGCTAAACAAGCCCAAACACTGGGCACCACTGTGGCGTAGCCACCATGTGAAAGCCCAGAGGGCCAAACCAGACAACCAGCACACGCGCAGACTGCCTTTGTCAGTCGATCAACACACAAGCTGTATTGTAACAATTCACCATAGTGAGAAACAAAGACATCAGTGTGTATACTCACAAGCTGGCTAAGCATTTTTTCCATGGTACAAGTCTCACAATTCGATGCCCTTGAGACCAAGCGAAGTAACGTACATCCTGTTGGGTTTTGGATTTTGTACCAAGAGACTTTTTTGTAGCTAATGGTGTGTTACACATGTGTACCGATTTTCATACATGTACGTGAAACGTAGCTCGAGGCGCACTCCGTTGAATGTGTATAGGTGGCGCTATCGAGCCATTCTGCCACACCCACTTCCGAAACCCATATCAGACGTACATTTTTCATCAGTTTTGACGCATGTGCAAAGTTTCATGAGTTTTGGAGCATGTTTAGGCCC